CTTTGTTACTGTTATGTATTTTTTTAAGGCAATGTCAAATCCTTGAATATACTTGGATGAGTTCTTCTTGATGGAGAAACTTTATTTTTATTATAATATTTTTAAAACTTTTATTGTTTTTTCAAAAAAATGATTGTAATTGAAAAAAAATTAATAATCTAATAGGATCCAATAGGTAACTAGCACAATTATTTCAGTTATATCTCATTAGCCATCAGATAGCGCGCACGAGTTTGAAGTTGAAGAAGGTCGCAGTGAATTAACAACATTTTGTTCACAATCTGATTTTAGAATCAACTCAACGGAATGTACCGTGATCAATTAAATTTTGTCTAAAATTTCCGTCCAAGTTTGGCAAAACTAAAAAAATTTATTTACGTGTACATATAAAGAAGATTTTAGGTCAAACTCATTTTTTTGAATAATTAAACCTACACAAAATAATAATATATGGATTGAGAAATAAGATAAGATGATCAAAAGATATCGACTTTTGCCTCCTACTCTTTTTATTGACGAATCTAACGGGATTGTAAGGTGATATGTTAAAAAAAAACTCAAGCCATGAACAACTACTTGCGTAACGGGCGTGAGATGTGATTAATTGTTTTGTGAAAACAGTGAGCATTGAACACCTCGCAAAGAGTCATGCGGCCGAAAGGTTTTGACCGTACCGTTATCTTCTGTTAACCCGCGTACAGATCGCATATTCTCATATCATTCTGGAATAATTCTTAAAAAAAAAAGCAGGAACATTTTCGAAAAATTTCTAAAATTAAAACAATTTCAATATAATTAAATTCAGAAAAATTGCATATAAAGGAGAAAATAAATATTAAAATATACTTACAGCTCATTTGCTTTTAAATTGGATTAATATATATATATATTTCATAGTCATAAGATATTATCATGTAAATGGAGATGGAATCAAAGCCACAGACTGTGACACCAAGTGAATATAATTATATTAGAAAAATTTCTCGATTATATAATAATTGCAAAGCGTGGAGTATCATTATATATTATAACGGGAACATCAAGTCAAGTTGTTATAAAAATTCTAATTATTAATACTCGAGTTAGCTTATAAATGGTTAAATGGTTATTACTTTGTCTAGTTAAATCATTTTCTAATTGGTAGACTTCATATCACTGAAGGTGAGAAAATGTTTTACAAATACAAATTCTGGAAATAAAATAGATGACCAAAAAAGACGAGGGAAAAATCCCTCATAACAAAAGGATATCCCTAGGATATCCATATCAATGGTCGATATCCCAGAATGGTCCCCAGGATATCCCTAGGATATCCAAACCGCCGGTCTGTGGGACATCAACAGGACATCCATAGGATATCCACAAGATATCCCTAAGACATCCACAAAATATATATTGGATATTATATCGCAAACCGCTGATTTTTTGGATATCCTTAAGAGATCCTTTTGATATCCATAGGACATCCCTAGGATATCTGCGGGATATTATCAATATATCCCAAGATATCTTGTGTTTTTAGGGATGGGTTATCAGAAAATTCACTTTAAATGAAAGTGCAAGTCGAATCGATGACTGTGATGATAAATTATCAAAAAAAAATGGAAATTAACCCCGGAGTTATAAATCGATAAATCTGTCAGAAATTATTATTATAATATTTGTAGCACCAGTTAAATATGTTAAAGCACATCATGAGTCGCGAAATCTTTTAAAATGAATTCTTCCGGGTGCAGGTATGCTATGGGCTTTACGGTTCATAAGTCTTTGCGCGAGATAATATAGCAAAGTCATTCTCAACTAAGGGTCGCGGCCTCTTTGCTGTCGCCGCGGCATTGCAAAACAGAAAAGTTCTGTTAATTTTTAATGTAATTGTATCTTTCATCTAAACTTATAAGAACTACACCATAAGTATTTGAAATACTAATGAGTTTACGGTTTTTTTACTGTGTGAGAATATTATTTCTAAAAAACATCAAAAACTATTTTCTGACTTGCAAAAATATAATTTTAACCAAATTTATTTATATAATTTATTAAAGATTTTAACCCCTTGGGTGTCGATGACGTGTATACACGTCATGAAATAGGCGGGCTTAAAGTGTCGATGACGTGTATACACGCACATAAATTTTGAGCCCAATAATAAGACTGAATTGGCCTAAAATTTGTTACTCGGGGGTTTTTGGGGTCACTGATTCCGAATTTGATGTCAGAATTACAAAAATTCAAAATGGATACAATAATGATCACACCCATACTATATGCTATTTTGAATTTTCAAAATCTGACTTGAATATCGTAAACAGCGACGTTCAAAACCCCAGAGTAACAGATTTTAAGTAATTTTAATTAATTTTTAAATTTTTAGAAAATTATCTGCCACATTAGTAACGCCATTTTGAATTTTTGAAATCTGACTATAGATTCGTAATCAGCGACCTTCAAAACCCCTGAGTAACAATTTTTAAGTATTTTTAAATCATTTTTGCCATTTTTTGAAAAATTGTCCGCCATATTGGCTCGACCATTTTGAATTTTTGAAATCTAACTTTAGATTCGTAATCAGCGACCCCAAAAACCCCCGAGTAACAATTTTTAAGTATTTTTAAATCATTTTTGTCATTTTTTGAAAAAATTGTCCGCCAAATTGGTTTCGCCATTTTGAATTTTTGAAATCTGAATTTAAATTCGTAATCAGCGACCCTCAAAACCCCTGAGTAACAATTTTTAAGTATTTTTAAATCATTTTTGACATTTTTTGAAAAATTGTCCGCCATATTGGCTCGGCCATTTTGAATTTTTGAAATCTAACTTTAGATTCGTAATCAGCGACCCCAAAAACCCCCGAGTAACAATTTTTAAGTATTTTTAAATCATTTTTGCCATTTTTTGAAAAATCGTCCGCCATATTGGCTCCGCCATTTTGAATTTTTAAAATCTAACTTTGGAATCGTAATCAGCGACCTTAAATACCATAGTATACACATTTGCATAAATTTTGGTCATTCAAAAATTTACTGACATTTTGAGCCCACTTATGAGATTTTGGCCTCGACTGTGAAGGGGTTAAGGAGTCTTTTTAACTTAGATAAAAGGAATTCATAGAACTTGAAATATTAGCTAATTGTAAGTGTAGAACCTTGCAATTTTAACAAAGTATGGATTGGCGGCAAGAATTTACACTTGAACCTTTCATGTAATTTTTAAAAAATTCCTAAAGCATATCCTAATCATTTAGAATTCTTGAGCTATATTGAAAATTTTCACGCTGGTTGTAGTATGTAATACAGTCTTGACATTTAAAGAGAAGTATTAGGTAAAAGGTCTCCAGGTCAACGTGGCTGTGTGGTCTGCGTATGCGGTTTACATCGTTTTTCTCTTGAGTGTGCGAGAATTTTTAATTCCTTATTTTATTTTTTTATTTACCTAAGTTGCAATATAAATTAGAAATTTAAAATTGTAAACATTTCTTATAAAATTAATTTAATAAATTTAAAAATTTTCTAACAAGAATATAGATATTTTAAAATTATTTTTTGTCTTTTACAAAAAACTAAAAAAATTCCAAAGTACATAAACTCTTTTCAATTAAAAAAAAATTTTCTAAGTTATAAAAACTAATACTAAAAAATTATTAAAGGCTATAATTTGTCTAGTTTTTCTATACCTAGTAAAAGGTTTATTTTTTTCCGTAGACAATTTTTAGTTTTTTTTAAATATTTTTATGTTTATCAAAAAAAAAAGTCGAGACTTTCTAAGTGTTTTTTTTTCTTCAAGTCTTGACTCGCGGCATGTGGATTTTGTTGAGGAAATAAAAATGGTCCGGTGTTACCCATCATGTTAACCGTTATTTTACTCCAGATGCGGAGGTATTCTAATAGATATAATTTTATTTGTACTGCAGTAAAGTCGTAGGTTAAAAACTGTGTTAGACCGTGACTACTGTCATGATCATCATAACCACTGTCGTAACTTGCTCTTAAAGAAAACATTAAAGTACCACAAGTATTTTAAAGATTCTACTGGAGTTTTATTTATTTTTTTTTTTTTATCGATTCTCTCTATATCTAATTGTTCAGATTTACAACGTTAAATTCTATGGACATCACAATTTATGTACCAAGTTCAAGTAACCCGGAGATAAAAAATTATTTGTGAATGTTGTTATTTGAACCTCTGACAAGGGAATTTATTTCTTTTGCACGCAACATCTAATGGGTTAGGTAATAAAGCAATTATGCGATCGTTTTCGCCAGCTCCATCAGTGCCACACTGCTATGCTGTCCTTAACAAAAAAAGGGGTCTTCGCCAAATCCGAAGAAGAACCGGATTCTTTTTGTATTAAGGTCTTCAAAAATATATTTCAAGATCACATGCCAATCTTTATTTTCATTTTATTGATATAACTTAACTAATAGCAATCAAACATTTATTAAGGATCAACAAAAATTTATAATTCGTATCTTATCAACTCACTTGAAAAGATTCCCCGGAAAGTGCCCCCTGGAGCTTCTATCAGAATTCCGCCGGAATTCCATCAGAGTTCCAAAGAATTTCCGATGGGATTCAGACGGAATTCAGACTCTAAAAATTTTGAAACAAAAATCAATCGGAATTCCGTCGGAACTCCGTTGTAATTCCATCGGAAATTCTTTGAAACTCCGATGGAATTCCGACGGAATTACGTTGGAAGTTCCGGCGGAATTCTGATAAAACCTCCAGGGGGTACTTTCCAGGGAATCTTTCCAAGTGGGAACATTTGTGTTAATAATTATAGTTTTCATTTTGGTGACAAATTGATATCTTAAATTGGAACAAGAAATTTGTTTTGATTCGATTTTAGATATCAAATTAATACAAATATTTGGGATCATTTTTTAGAAATTATCTGGATATTGGGATCATTTTTTGATACTGATAAAATTTATTAGATTATGTCACATTACATTAGAATTTTTATATGAATTTTGCTAATTCAATGATATTTTATGTTACAGGTCTTGATCAACTGGTATTTCTACACTACAAACGCTTATAAGGTAAGAATCAACTAGAAAGACACAAATCAACACCTATGTCTAATATTATGTCGTTAATTGTACATGTACACAAAGGAACTTGTGTTTTAGGACTTGTTTTTGTAAACTCATCTTGATTACTTATTTTGTAAATTATTTAACTGTAAAAGTAATTTGCCCCCCGGATGTTGCCTATATGATGATTACGGTAATCAACTATTTATCGTTAACGGGTATAAGCGCACTGCTCGACCTCGCCGCAACTACTCGTATGCGTTACGCGGGCGATATAAAAAAGATCTCGCGACTTTTTTCTCAAAAAAAAAGTCACAATTGAGCCAGGTCACTAAACTCACTAAACGAAATAAGAAAATTGAATCCTGAAATGTAGAAGTACTTACAACCCTCATAACAAAAGGATATCCCTAGGATATCCATATTAATGGTCGATTTTCCTAGAATGGTCCCCAGGATATCTTGGGATATCCTATGGATGTCCCACAGACCGGCGGTTTGGATATCCCAAGATATCCTGGGGACCATTCTAGGATATCGACCATTGATATGGATATCCTATGAATATCCTATGGATATCCTAGGGATATCCTTTTGTTATGAGGGTAATTAGAAAATATATAAATTTAAATTGACCTACTGGTATTGTTTTCAGGTCGAATGAAACTTGAATATCATATGAATTATAGATTTTTTAGAATTGCAGACAATTCCTTTTAACAAAAGGATCGTTGTATCCTAATCCATTATATGAATTAATCTAGATACATGAAACGAGTATTTATTTATACCCATCTTGTGTCCTTGATCTCGAATGTCGATAGTCGATGAACGATGATTGTTAGTATATAAGAATGCTGATGGACAGGTTTAAATATTTATATAGGTATAAGAAATATTGTATGCTATTTTTGTTATAACCATATGCATTCTATATAATTTGATTCCTATGGATATCTAGTCAGTTTTCTAATATATATATATATATATATTTATATTTATATATAAGAAACGGGAACTGAAGCCCTTTGAGAAATAATATGAAACCTGCGGATATAATGAAAAAAGTGCAATCGTATAGGATCGCATGGAATATATAGGAAAAGAGGTATATGGTATTGTGAGTGTGATAAACGCCGGTCTAACCTTGCTATAAAACTGGTAAGAAGATTTTAATGGCGACCCTACGTGGCAGAAGATGATCCTTAACGACATAGAATTTCCCGGCATTCTTCAGCTAACACTTACGCTGCTGCTTGGTTTCATAGTATCCTCCTTTTGCACGACTATTTTTCCTTTGGGGGCTGAAGGTATTCATCTGGGTAAATGTAGCCAAGGTAAAATTTATGAAGACGATTTATGGGTATATTTAAATCTTAACTTTACATCACTGAATAACGATATTCCAAATTTTTAAATATTCCACTGAATAAAATTTATTTAGTTTTATTTTCACATTTATATATTAATTTTAACATTCTGAGAAATTTCAGGTTAATTAAATTGCTTCCTTATTCAAATCATGTAATTTAAATTATCTCAATATGATTCAATTTCTAATTAATTAATTAGGTGATAAATAATATCTCCATTATCTTCTAATACAATTTTGAATGTAGAAATCACTATATAATAGCACAAGGGGAAATTAGTTTAAAATGTATTAGCATCAGGCGATTCTAATGGAAATTCCAACCTTGGAATATTCCTTGCAACCTCCAAAGGAAATTATTTAATAAGGAATTTTATAATTCAAAAGAAATTGTAACTTGTAAAATTAATTTAATTTTACAGCGTTACAATATACTAACTTAATTTTTCCCGAATATTTTTTTTTTCTTATACGGTTGTTAATTCTGTACATGACAAATCTGGCTGCTGATTGTAATCATGTACCGTTTGCAGACTATTATTTTTTCGTACCTACTCCTCCGTTCCGTTGTTGACTTTTTCGCTCATATGGGGTACCGTTAAATTAGTTTTAACATTTTTCAAATTTTTCTGGTCAATTAATTTTAAAAGAATTTGTATTTTTTTCAATTTTTTTCTATCTATTTGAAAAAACTTTCGTTGGGAATTATTGGTTGTGGAAAATATTTGGGAAGATTGGAGAAAAAGGATTGGAAAAAGGGACCTATATGTCGCAACTTGACAAAATAACATAAATCTGTTTTATGTGTTTTTCTTTACCTTCCATTGATCGAATTTACTTCATATCAAAATATACACTTGGAAGGGAATTTCTCATTCATATTTAAAATACTACTATTATGTATCATAATATCCAAACTTTTTCCGAAAGGTTCAAGAGGATGTAAATTTCCCTTCGTGAATTTAGATCTCCAAATTTTTCTACAAGTTTTAATAATGGAAAATAACAATTTAATTACGGAGCATTTAAATTAAATGCATTTTGAATTAAAATAGATTTTTAGTGATACAATAAGTATTTTCTTCTTTTTCTACAATTTCAAGGGATTAATATATGGTAACTGCAAAAAAGTATTAATTTAAGACTCTAAAGAATGCAACATTTCATCATTAGAGTTTTATCCTTGTGGAAGTGTGTTCGCAGTCCTATAACAGGAAGATAAAATAAGAGACCAAAAACCGGTGACAGAGTTATCGTTGTTGTACGCTGTACACGATCATTCCTCTCTCGATAATAAAAAAAAAAAGGAAAGGATAAAGAAAGGCAGCTGCGTGAGCTAGAGTTAGAGAAGTTAGGGGAGTAGTATAGAGTCACGGTTTTTCTCCGATCTTGTCATTGGCGCGGTAAATGAACGACCAAACGATACGATCGTGTCGAATAGTACAATACCCCGAGTCAATACACGGCCATGCTAAGCTTCAACACAAGAGAGTCTACCATTAAATCGAGTAGCGCCTCTGCGCCTGCAAGTTGATTACAGAGCCTACAGCTGTGTAAGCTATATATATATATATATATATATATATATATATATATATAAAAGTACGCTTTGCGTTTGATAACAGGCGTCTTCCGCACTCATCATTCCAACGCAAGGCCACATTGGCAAAAAAAAAATAAACCACCGACTGTGATTATTTATATTTATATATCTTTATGCAATTTTCCTATTTATTTCCGACACGTTCTTGGAAGCTAATGGCAACTCGGGATACAAATTACATTCTTTTTTTTTCCAGGGTAAATTAAGATTCTTCTTTTCCATAATCATTCCTGAGTCTCCCTCCTTTTATTGCCTTCTCAATATATAGGTATATTTGTTTCATACTACCCAAGATGGAATTTATTAACTATAGGGAAAATAAGTTTTCATATTTTTAGTTATCATATCCCAGGTGAGAATTTATAACCGGCGCGTATATCCGCCAGACAGTACCGCGTTAGATTGACAGTACTATAGTTGCGAACTGGCAACCGGATGCTGAGGAATCAGCATGATTACGGTATACGTGTCGAAGCAAATATTTTCATTAATTATTAATTTTTAAAATTATCCTAATTTAATTTGATCAATTGGAATGGAATAAAATAATAAATAATCAAAATTCCGCCCCTCAATAATAATTTTTACACGCTCTAATTAATTTAGTGAAATCCTGAGAATTCGTCAATTATTACAAATAATTAATACTCTCTAAATTTGAATCAGCTAAAATCCGCTGATTGGCAGCGAATAGTCGCTGATTGAAAAAGCTATAAGTATGCAGCTGCGAATCAGCGACTAACAACTATTTCAATCAGCGGAATACTCCATTTTTAAAAATAAATTTATCTTCCGACGAAAATGACCGACGTTCGCCGATCCGATGATTCAAACAGTGAAATTTTAGCTAATTCAAATTTAGAGAGTAATTAATCAATTATAAGTTACTCGAATGTTAAGAAGGTGGCATCATCCAGAAGTTCACGAAGATTTTAAATTACCGCTTCAAACTATATCTTCGTTTATCTTTATAGTACATTTCAATGAAACTGAAATTACAAATTAATTACCTAGTAATTTTGATTGATCACGGTAATTGTTTTCCAATGAACATAAATAATCGTGATACAATTAAATCAGAAAATTATATTCTCTTCATATATAGATGATTGAAGATTGACGATAGACGCTGCTGATGTAAATTTGGTAACGACTTCGACATAAACAGGTATCGATGATTTATGATATATATTCATTGGCTACTCTTCGGACAATAGATACGAGACACTGGATGACCGTTTAGGAGACTTACTGATTGAATTATCAGTGTATTTTGACCTGAACGTAGACTGCAATAACTGGAATGATTGATGCAGTGAATAATAACAGAGAGACTTCTGATGTCCGCCACTGTGTTGATCATCATATTTTCTCGCTTTTGGGTCGTTACTATCTATTCCTTATATCTTCCAATGTTTTCAATATCATTTATACATCGATAAATTATACACTCCAAATAATCATTCGGTTCTTCTTTCATAATTTTAATGTCGATAAATGATTAATTACAATAACTTATTAAATTACATTGTTTCAGAATTGGTGTTTTACAATTATTCGTTATCACAATTAATTTAATTAATAATAATAATTATCACTTTGATGATAGAATTTAAAATATGAAAACCAATTTTTAGCATTTGGTCTTCATCCATCTGGCAACGTTCAGGATTTTCTTATTAATTTCTCCTATTCGTCATCTCCATTATATATAAATAATTAATTAATTGTTTATACCTATACAATATATATTTATAATTAATTAATTTCTTAAAATTAAATAAATGCACTGCGATAATTAACAATTTGGAGAGTACATGGATTTTTATATGAACAACGCGAATATGTAAATATCCCTAGAAACGAAGATGATCATCCTTTTTCTCCTCTTATTTGTTGCATCAACTAATAAATGCAAATATGCAAAAGGGCATAAATAAATTCGCACATGCTGTGAAAAACTGATCTTGGAATGACGATAAATTATCCAGACTCTCTGTTAGTACCGCATTAACTTTAACCATAGGAAAG